TACAATTGCATTTCTGTAGCTTTCATCCTTTGTTTATTTTATGAGGATCTCTCAATCTGTCACTAATTTTATAGGCTATGGTTTAAATTAATGTGAATCTTTTTTTTTCCACCACTTACTGAGGTATGATTAGCATACACAGAGCTGCACATACACAATGTGTACAACCTACTAAGTTTAAAGATGAGTACACACTGCCAAAATGATCAACAGAAATAGAGACATCACCTGCACAAGTGTCCTGTTGCCAGTCTATTTCTTAATAACAGACACGGTCATCGAATCCATTGAGAGTGATTCCCCATGGAATCGCAGCTAGAGGGCTGAGCCACTGTAGGCTTTTAAAAGTCAGAAGTCATTCACCACAGAAACTTTCGTTTAACAACAGTAAAGTATGCATGGCAACTAAATGGCATGTGTCCCTGCACTACATGGACTCATACTTTTCTCTCATACTTGGGTGACATAGGAAACAATCTTTGAATTCATGCGTTCGTGCGTCCTCTTACTTTCCCACCGGCTGAGCACTAGGTGAATGCAGCCTGAGACTGCATTTCTCCCATCCAAGTACTAACCAGGCCCGACCCTGCTTAGCTTCCAAGAACAGACCACACTGGACGCGTTCAAGGTGGTATGGTCGTAGATCTGAGACTGTATTTCCAATAGTGACACCTCAGGGGATTCATCAGCATTCTCTGCCACACTGAAACTCAGAACCGAGGGTATGCCACCTTCTCCCCAACAGTTCATTATGGAACTTTCTATTCAAAACTGCATCTAAACAATACTTCCCAAAAAGTGTTCTGTTAGGAGTCAGCTGTGAGTTAAGACAGGGTATATCCTGTCCACTACAGGCTTAATACCAAGCACAGTGGTTCACACACCACAAGCATAAAGTGTTTACTGATAGCGGAATGCTTTAATGAGACCTTTTAGCAGAAAAAGGCTGTAGTCTTATGTGGAGCCATCACATTTAATGGAACACATTGATCACCACAGAGCTGTATTGTCGGCTTGCTCAGCAACCTGTCTGAACTGTGAAGCTTTTAAGTAGAGACTATGAGTATGTTTCAAAAAGGGACACACAAAAAAATGAAATTAAAATATATGTTTACTTCTGTGCAAAAAAACTTAAAATCTGTGTATAATTTTTTGTTTTCAAAAGAAATATTTTTAGCAGTTTTCATGGCCCATAGTATAGGTGGATTTAAAAAAAAAAAAACATTTGATCCCCTCCTCAAAAAAACCCATACTTTTAATTTCATTTTGCACAAACTGTATGAGGTATGCTCTAAGAACATAAGATATAACTTAACTTCAACGTAACTGAACCCTTCTCCCCTGACTTTCTCAGCAGACAAATCTTCCACAGAAAGTGCTTTTGGAGACACTGACGTTAACTGCGGACCTTATGGAGGGCGGAGGTTACTGAAAGGGAGTGGTGAATAAAAGGAAGAATCATTGCCATTCTTTTCCTAACCAATGGGACTCCTGTTTGAATTGTCTCTGAAGAAAAATCTTGCTTTCCGTATTAGTGATTTTCTAAGATTTCTGTCAGATGTCCCATCAAAATGATGCGCCATTGTGCTCACGGCTGCAGGTAGGCAAGCTTTTCCTCTCGCTCACCTGTCGCGTTCCTGACAGGATTTAGCTGACTGTTCCGCCAGTGCAGAGGAAGGAATGCTCATTTCTAAGCAGTCCCCTCCGCGATACAACCGTAGCTCATTGATGGTTTTCCCTCTGGAAACAGCACGTCACATCATAGCTTGTGAAACACTATATTTTTCCCTCCTCCTTTCATAGTTGAAAACGGAATAACTTACAACTAAGGACAAAACCCGTGTCTTGGTAGCACATCAGCATAGTTTTTCTGATGGAAAATAACGGAAAAACACCAGACTTCATACAGTACTATGAATAACAGTAGAAAAAAGCCTTTCCTGGACAGACTGGAACAAAAACAAACCTTCCAAACCTTCATGAAAAAAATGTCTTATGCAAAAACTGCAAGAATTTCCAAACATTCTTGCAATAAAATAAAATTAGTTTTCAATTTTAATTTTTACATTAACATTTTGAATTACTTTCATATATTCCCTTTAGGTCAAAAGATCTTAACCAAAAAGTGAATGGCATCTCATAATAGCCACAATAGTAGTCCGGGCTCCTCACAGCAGACAGGCCTCCCCATGGACCATAGAAACTTTCCTGAGACACCAGTTGGGAGGATGGGTCAGAGTTTGAGACTGCTAGTCAAAGGTGACAGCTAGTTGAAGAGCCCAGAGGGAGCAGGCATAAGACCTAAGCGGGCACACCGGGTGGGAGATGAGGAGTGCTTTTCTTAGCATAATTCTGTCCCAATGATTACTGTCTTTCCTCTAATTTCTTTCTTTCTTTCTTTCTTTTTTTTTGATTGGTTGTTTATTTTTAGTGGAAAGGTAGATTTACAGAGACAAAGAAAGAAAAGTCTTCTACCTTCAGGTTCATTCCCCAAACGACCACAAGTTTCAGAGCTGAAGCAAGAGCCAGGGGCTTCTTCCTGGTCTCCCACATGGGATCATGAACCCAAGGTTCTGGGTCATCCCCTGCTGCTTTCCCATGTCATAAACACAAAGCTGGGTGGAAGTTGAGCAGCCGGGACAAAACTGGTGCCAATCTGGGATGCTGGCACTTGCAGCAGAGCATTAGCGAATTAAGCCATCATTCTCAACCCTTTTGCTCTAACTTTTAATTTATAAATCCTGGATAACATACTCATTGGAGCTTATTATAAGGATGTTCATTTTCTTCTTCTTTAGATTCAGTTTTTTCATTGAATAGAATCATTAAGAAAACAGGAAATATTTAAATAGGAAAATCTAGACCCACAAACCACATTGTGAAGGTTAATTATAATATCTTTTGTCCATTTGCATAATTTAGTTTGGATGGATCTACTTTATCCAATAATTTTTAAAAGAGTCATCTGGCACTTTGTGTATTGTGATTTGTTGCTTCAATAGTCACCAATGTCTAACCAATGCTTTAAAAATTATTTTAGGCCAGGCACAGTGGTTGAAGTCCTTGCCTTACATGCACCTGGATCCCATATGGCTGCCAGTTCTAATCCCGGTGGCCCTGCCTCCCATCCAGCTCCCTGCTTGTGGCCTGGGAAAGCAGTCAAGGACGGCCCAAAGTCTTGGGACCCTGCACCTTCATGGAAGACCCTGAAAAGCTCCTGGTTCCTGGCTTCAGATTGGCTCAGCTCCAGCCACTTTGGCAGCTTGGGGAGTGAACCATTGGACGGAAGATCTTCCTCTCTGACTCTCTTCCTCTCTGTATATCTGCTTTTCCAATAAAAATAAATAAATCAGTTAAAAAAATATTTTAAAACCCATAACAAACACCGTCAATGCCCTGCCCACATTGCCTCACAACACCGTTTCTGTGAACATAATCAGCCTGCTACCACAAATCATAAGAACCTTCTTTGCTTATGGGATTTTTTGACAGACCCCAGGTATGGCCCTTAGTCAAGGAACACCTCTTTCCTTCGTTGCATGAGCAGGAGGACTGTATTAACAGTCCCTACTAGACGAAAAAAGTCATTTTCCATGGGATGCTTTGCAGGAGAGCATTCTATGTTATCTGCCTCAAATCTCATTTTTCAGTGTTTGCTTCGCAAACAAATGATTATACAAATATTGGTGTCTTGAAAGCTGTTTCTAGAGGGAACCAAACTAATAAAAAGTTGAACGCACTATTGGCTCTGGAAGAACTTCAGCCAACTGGCACCAAGTGAGTTACTGTAATGCATATCTTGTAGGGAAGACTACATGCGGTGATGTTGCTTTGATAAAGCTACAGTGATTAATGAAAAAAATAATTACAACATCCCCTTCTCTGTCTTTACTCTGCTTAAAGGGCTGACACACTAAAAGGTAAGATGATGGAGTGCCTTGAAATTCTGGCCACCCTTATTCTCCCATCATAATTACCTGTGCCCTCAAACTGACCAGGTTTACTTCATTGACTAGCTTGTTATTTAAGATGCCAGTGAATTATTAAAAGATTGCATGCTTTCCCAGCCATTATAACGATGCTATTTTTGTCCCTCTGACTACAGAGAACTAAAATCAAAATTAGATGCAAATTAGTGCCAATCTCATGCAGGCAACTGAGAAATTGTTGTGATAAAAGTGTGTTTATTCTTCCTAATTCACGGTGGCATGTTGCTGTTTTTAGTGGTAAACATGCTATCTTTTCACATACAGTTATATAGTTGATTGTAACAGAGACTTAACAGGGTATATTGGATTTAAAAAATAGAAATGTATGTATGTGAAGATCATGGTTCTACTATTATCTCCAATCTAGCCTATTACTAAATATCTTCTCACCATCACAGCCAATTGCATGGCACCGTAAAGAGTAATTAACTCCTATAACAGTGACTTATCATTTGTGACTGTATTACAAGTTAAATTTAGGCAAATGAAAGAAACAAAATATAGAATAATATGATACATAATTAATAACTGATTTCCACTGCTTCTAGTAATGCTGAAGTAAGATTAGAATTAAGAAACTATTATCTAATTGAAAAAAAAATCATACGTATGGTAAACAGGTGAGTTTGTACTTTGTTGAAAGTCTCCTTTGGCCAAGAAGAAATTACACTATTTTTGCAAAAATATATTGTAAACTTTAGGACAAATATCATCACACTGTTTATGAACAATTCCAGAAAAACAAGACATCATTAACAGAAAAACAAAGGCAACCCAGGCACTTTGGGCATTTAAACAGCTTGCTGTCCTTGACTGTTGCTTTCACATTCTTAGTCAGACAGCAGAGGTAGAGTCATACAGCAGCAGTAAAACAAGCACAGAAATACATACACTCTATATAGTAACAGCGTGAATAAATAAATATTCCACTGTCACAGGGAACCTCACATTGCTAAACTTCAACTTTAGGGGTTAATTAAATGCATGGCCTTATTGGAATTTAATGATATGTTATGCTTCATCTGAACTTGTCAGTTGGCCCCAAGCTGCAATAATCAACTTTTCAATGTCAGACTCATTTACTCCTCGAAGAATCCTAAAATAGCCATTCTCTCTCCATGACTTTCCCCAGGAGTTGGCAGCAATCTGCAGAAAAACAAAAAGTGAAAAAGTTGAGAATCCTACTTCAGTATTTTTAATTCCATCCATAAAAACATAAGAAACTCAATTTGCACTTTAAATGCTTTGGATCTGTTAGTATTTATATAGGTTTCTGAGAGTTTCACATATCTTTTCCCTTTTAATTTCATCTTCAATGAGTTTTGTGAAGGAACCCCTTCCTAATTAAGAACCTAAATATCTTCCATATAACAATCATGTTATTTGGTTTCTAGGCTACATTAACATACAAAATGTATACATATTATCAACAACCATAACTGGTTTGACTTTAGCAATCCTAGGAGTGCAATGGTCATTGGTCCACAAGACATGGTTTTCAGAATGCTTAGTGTGGAAACAATCTTGCTGAGCAAAGCAAGATCAATGGTAAATAATATATTCTATGTGTTCAGAGATTTTATAATCCAACCAAGGACAGTCAATGGAAGGCATCTAACAAGGAAAGGATGTGAACCAGGTGGTATTGAAGGCTGGACCTGGGCATCACACGTGTTTAGATATTTCAGGCACAATGTGATAGAAGGTGGCATGTTGCATGTGCATCAAAGCATGAGCCTGAGGTCCCCAGATAAATTAAGGGTGAGAGAGTAAGAAAAAGGAAAATAGTGAAAGCAGAAACAAAGGTAAGTAGTAGTAAAATGAATCAAATGAAGTGTTACAATTAGATAATGAGATAGCGTAAATTCATAGGTTTCGAGGTTGGAGGGGAGAGGAAGCACATCCATGCAGAGAAAATAGTGAGGATGACAGCAAGGCTTGTACCCAACAGAAAAGCAAGGAGAACAAGCCTGGTTTGATCGCGTTAGTCCATCTGATCTGAGAGGGTAGATTGAGGAGGTTAAAGACAAAAGCCTCATGGTTTGCATAACTAAACAGTTGAATCATTTAACTGAGGCAGGAAAATAGAGGTACAAAAATTACAAAATATTTTAAAAGAAAATAAATGGGAAATACAAGGTTCTTTTTTCTTTTACTTTTCTAAAATATGAGATGATTAGGGAGCTGTGACAGATCCAAAATGAGTCCTTGATTTAAAGTTTGAGTGGGTAAGTACATGGTGAAATCAAAACATTGATGTGCTATTTAGAAGCTATCAGGAAGGTCAAAAGAGCACACCAAAGGAAGGGAATGAACAAAGGGTGAATGCAGCAGGAAAGGCCAGCTGTTTGAAGACTTCATACAATTCTCACACTTACATTCACCCTACACTGTGCAGGAAACAAAACATTTACTCAGGCATGATTTGCATCGATACTACCTAGGCATGTGGCATGGTATTGAGCTTTCAATGTTTTCTGCCTCATAAGAGATGAGCAGATTCACTCAGAATCAGAAATCATCGTGAGAACAACAGCTTTAAGCAACTGCAGATTATCAACAGTTTCCTTTCTAGATCTGGCTCTTGTCTCCTTAATCCATACCCTCAGGTGTATACCTATAGATTAAAGTGGTACCCCCAAAGCTGTGTGCAAAAGTCTGATCTTAATATACCACTTCAACAATGGAATGGACTTTGAATCACTCAGCATCAAAGTTTTGCATCAGAGTTAAAACAACAATTAGCTGAATTAAATTAAGATTTCCATATTTCTGAGCTTCTATCTCCCTCTCTGCCTTCCTCTGTCTCTTGTTTTACTTCCTCCAACTCTACTGCTTCCACACTGTCTGGAAAGTCAAATAACATTATTTTTTAAGAAAATTACTATTTTACGTTCTGGAAATTTTAAGTTCTTGACATCTTAAGCTCCTGAGACCATGACTTACAGTATGAACCTATACATATTGGGATGGATAAAGGTGGCTATAATCCACAATTTCACTCTTAGATAATTGGCAAATATAATCATCCAAATTTCATTATTAGATAGATAGATATCTGTCTATGTATTTGAAATTCCTGTGGCAAAGATTTGATGAACTATGACTGATAAACTAAATCTGGCAGGGAACCTATTTTGACATAATGTATGAAGTAACGGTGTTTTGCTTTTCTTCTTTACAACTGTGCATAGCCCTGGAAATCTAAAATTGTCAATTTCCTGTTAGCAAACTTGACTAATTCCCACTCTACCTCTATTTATTAGACCTCATATCATTTAAATTGCAATGATATCTCTAATTTAAATTGACTGCACTCTTGACCAACAGAAATTCTGGAATAATTAATGTTTAAAGTGCTAGAATTTATCTTGATGCACAAAAAACAAAACATTAAATCAGATTCTGTTGGCCCGGTGCGGAAGCCTTGCAGCTAAATTTCTCACCTTGCAGGTGCTGGGATCCCATATGGGCTCTGGTTCTAATCCCCACAGCCCTGCTTCCCATCCAGCTTCCGGCCTGCGCCCTGAAAAGCAGCAGAAGACGGCCCAAAGCCTTGGGACTCTGCACCTTCATGTGAGACCCGGAAGAGGCTGCTGGCCCCTGGCTTCTGAACAGCTTGGCTCCAACAGTTGAGGCAACCTGGGGAGTGAACCAGTGGTCAGAAGATCTTCCTCTGTCTCTCCTTCTCTCTGAATATCTGACTTTCTAATAAAAATAAATAATCCCTTAGAAAAAAAAAGTGCTGTAAAATAAGACATTAATTGATTTCTGAATCACATGCTTAATTTTTATCTCCTTGAAGGTAATTATGCAATAACCTATAATGACTGACTTTAATATTTAAGCCAGCCCTACATTCTGTGGGTAGTCATCCGCGGATCCAGACTTTGCAGGCCTATGCCAGGCATCATGAGGGCACATCACACTGCACCCCTGGGAAACTGGCAGAGGGTTTGGCAGACTGAGACCCTGCTTTGGCCTGATGACTGACAGGCAGCCCAGGACCCGATGTACAGATCTTGTTTCTTCTTCTTGAAAAGTCCTCACCTTGCAGTGGAGAAAAGAGAGAACCAAACAGCAGCCACTGTGATTAGGTCAGGCTTGCACACTGCTCTTGTCAGGAAAGACTGTATCTAAAACTGATCATTAAGTTGATTGGTGGCAGCGTGGGGTGGTGGGGGGCCAGTTAGGTTACTGTCTGTAATGCTCTGGGCTCCCTGTTGATCATCCCGTACATAAGCTTCACTTGGAGATGTTGGTTGACTACTGGTTGTCTCCTTCATTCAGTGATTTCCACGGGCCTCCATCACCTCCCCTTGGGAGTACTGTGGAAAGCAGTCTCAACATTTCTGGAATGTACAAGTGCTGTTCTTCAAATAATCTCTCAATTGCAGTATTTTGTTAGAATGGTGTATCCACGAGAGAGATAGGCCTGCAATTTACCTTTCTTCTATCGTCATGTTCAAATTTGGGGATTGGTTTTATATTCATTCAGAGTGAACTGAGAACTCTCCCTGATTTATTCATGAATGGGTTAGATGTAATGTTGATTTCCTTGCTTCCTTAACTATTCTAGCAAATTCACTTTGTGTTTTGACAGTGATTTTCTTCGTGAGAATGTTTGGTTCTCTTATAAAACACAGAGTGACTTAATGCCAAAAAATCCCATAACTGCTTAGGCTTTCTAATTTCATCTTAGATAAATTTTGACCAATTTTGTCCTTCATGAAATTCAGCATTTCATCTACATTTTCAAATATACCAGCATAAGTTTTTTCATAATATTTCCTTATCATTTACCTAATAGCTATTTATTCTGTGGCATGGTCTTCTTTTTCCCTTTCATCACTGATATACTTCCTCTCACTGTTTTGTCTTTCTAGGAATTTAACATTCTTTGAAACCAACTCTTGACTTTGCTCACTTTTTTCTATAAGATAACGTATGCTTTCAGGGATTCTGTTCTTCTCTTGTTTTACTGTATAATTTGAGCATTTAGATTAGTATATGAATATTTTCCAAAAATTAAAGATGTTCATTAATTTGAACATTTCTTCCCTTGTGATGCATGCGTTTTCTATTAAATTCAATACTTCTTTAGCCAAACAATGAACAGTTTTGTGTAATACATTTTGTATAATCACAATCCTGAATATAGGGTGTTTCACTTATAGCTCAGCTTTGCCCGATTTCGGCATGTATTTCAAGAGTGTTTTAGGAGGATGTCTATGAATTTCAACTGTACAAGAGAATGGTTTTTATTTTTTTTATATCGTATCTGCTTTTTCTATAAATTATTATTCATGTTTTTGGCTTTTTGTGTGCTTTCTGCATTTCTCTGTCTAAAAATGTCTTATTTTGCTTTGATTGTAATGAAAATTGCCATAAATTACAAAATGATGCCAACTGTATATTAATGAACAGACTACACTATTATTATTGTTAACTTTAACCATCACTTTAGCACTAGGAGCCTTACTATGTTATGTGAGTTTTGGGGTGTGTGTGTGTGTAGAAAACTATCTGGCTGTTTTTACACTTTGAAAAACTTCATTGTTATGATTTTGAATATCCATTCTTTCTCTCTTAAGCTCCTGGGACTTTAATTATGATTATGTCAAAACATCTCATTTTTGTACTCTCACATCTCTCCACGGAGTTCTGAATTGGTTTTCATTTTCTCATTACATTTTGTGTATTATATTAGGGATATATTTTATTGAACTTTATTGATGATCATTGTCTGCCTACCACGTTTTTGAATCCACAAATTAAAGAATTAATTTTGTTACTTTAATTGATTGAAACTCTTTATTTTTCAGATATGTCTTCCTTTTTGTGATTTTTTAAAAATTTATTTATTTTTATCGGAAAGGCAAATATATAGAGAGAAGGAGAGACAGGAAGATCTTTTGCCTGATGATTCACTTTCCAAGTGGCCACAATGGCTGGAGTTGAGCTGATCCGAAGTCAGGAGCCTGGATTGCTAGTCACAATTTCTTTACCTGTTTTGTCTCCTAATTTTTAAGTACATGCTGGATATATTTTGTGATAATTATAGAGATTACCATTGTTTACAGGAAAGTAAACCATATGTTTTAGAGAACGGTAACGTTCATTTCAGTCTAGTCAAGAATGGAGTTGGGATCCTGCTTGGTTACAAATATGTCCAGAGTTGTATCTATCATGTCTGCTTTAGAGTCTGTCAATTTAGAACCTTTCCCTAGGTCCAGAAATTCATTATTTTTGTCTCCTTTGACCACCCTGTTAGCTATTTACTCTATTCCAACACTCAGCAAACATTCCATGAAAACAAAAGGACTGTGTATTTTAAGCTCCTCTAAAATACCAGTTTAGCTAGATTCTCATTCTCCTTGAGATTTCTTTGCCTGTTACAAAGCCAATCCCAAACTGTTCTCAGAACTAAAAAATTACTCCCAAGACTGAAAATCATCCTCAGATTCAATTCTCTTGTTACCACAAAACACAAGTGTGAGGATGTCTGTTCTCTATATAGTCACATTTACTGCTTACTGCTATCTCTTGCATTTTACTCAACAGTGGAATTCATCCAATTATATTTATTACAAAAAATACATCTGTGCTCTAGACTTATTTTTAAGCTGCTTAGAAATATCTACATATAATAATAGGTAAATAGACCCTCTGGGATTTTTCTGTGCTTGTGCATCTCCTATGTTCCCAAGAGGGACAAGGAGGTATAGAAAACAAGTTTCTAGACTAAACCCCAAAGCACATGAAGTGCAGGAACACCATCTCCCATGGGATGTGCAAGCAGAAAGAAATGAAGACTAAGATGGGGAGACATTATCCTGCGTTTCTTTGGCCCTTACAAACAGCTTTTTTATATAGTCCTTAAATATTAGGATCAGAATACACAATCCTGTCCATCTTCTGTTGGTGAAATAAACCCTTTTATTTCTATCCTGCCAGGAAAAGAATCTGCTTTCCTGTGTCCTGTGTAGAATGAGAGAATGCATTATTCTTTGTGTCTCTGAAATGTAAACTACCAGGTGTGTAAAATAAATGTCATTAGTTCTTACCATATCACCCCTCTGTGTCACTGGCATGTTAGGCTGCCTGCTGATCTGATCATACCAGTGAAAACCTCTACTTAGAATGTACATCTCTCAGGGCTCTCATAAGTACTCTCAAAACAGCTGAAGAGTACTTAAAATTTTAATTTTTAAATCAAGCCATCAGTTAGTTTAGTAAAGAATGAATATTATTTAGTGAGTCTAACAATGCTTTTATGCATAGTTATTCATTCACCCATTCAATGAGCATTGCTTATGTTCTAACTGTAAACCTGTCAGTACATTTTGTCCTTGAAATACACTGATAAATGAGGTAAATATAGTTCTAGCCCAAGATGAATGATCACATATGTGCACAACAACATATGTGTGTGCATGTGTACTGAAAATAAAGATGTCAATCAAAATATACAGCTTAATAAAATATTATGAATTCAACACAATGCAGCATTATTAAACTACAAAAGAGAATGAAGTATTGACAATTATGGCAACATGAATAGAAATTGAGGACATGTGTGGAGTAAAATAATCCAAACATAGTGAGACCAATTTTGTACATTCCTCCACATACGTGAGAGCTGAAATATTTTTTAAAATCTGAAAAACTGAAAGCAATTCCTGGATTCTGAGTCCATAATAATTTCTGTGACTTCAATTTGCATGATTAAATTATTCTTTAAAATGCTTATTTATAACAACAATTTATGATGGAATTTGCTAATATCTACTTTATTTGGACATCAGACTGGATGTTAATAATAGTTCTGAAAAAGCAGCTACCATTGGAAAATTTTGAAAAGTAAATTCACACAAAATTTTGAAATCAGCAATAACCTTATATTTCCATCCTTTGTATTTAACCTTTTGTCCAAAATGTAACAGCTCAAAGAAATCTCATCCCTATGCCTGTAAAATAACTTTTTTTGAAAATTTTGCGTGAATATTAAGTTCAGAATTGATAGTAACCCTCACAAAAGTATCATAAAATAATACAGTAGTGTGATCTATGTGTTGAATGCAAAACAATAAGTGAATGCATACAGACACTGTGTTTATTTCTGAACATTTACAATGCAACACCTGTGGAGCTCTGGAGCAGAAATAATCAGGTTCAAGATCACAAAACATTTTCCTTTGTGGATTCATTCATACTCAACAATAACTACCCAATACTGCATGTTAAAATATGTTGTAAACCAAATACATTAGTCCAAGAATATGCTTTTATCTCAATGTTCAGATTCATTTAATAACAATATAACCCAAGCATTTAATCATAGCTATTCAAATAACCTGCTGTTATTTATATTAATTGTTGGCTGCTCCAATATTTATTTCAATGAGTAAAATGTTTGGTTTAAATACAAAGGATTGTACTAAGGTGTATGATATCCTTATATATCAACAATACAAATTTAAGATGAGACCACATATGTGGCTGATTCATTTTTTGAGTGCTCTATGATAAGATGTATCACGATATTATGAAGGAAACAAACCTAATATCTAATGTTTTGAAAGGTGTACCATGTTCTCTACTGTATACATTCAAATTTAAATTTTAAAAGTAGCATCACCAAGACTTCATATCATTTCTAAAAAAAAATTGAAAAGTACAGATATGAGGGCTTAGAACAACTGATCAAGCTCATAGCTGATTATTTGAAATGAGACACTCCATTCTTCTTCAATATGTTCCTTACCTCTAATATGGTCATTCTTCTCTTAATGAAGGCACATGCATATGTTACAAAGAAAGAACTTATTCTTAAAAAATGTATAAATATGATATGAATAGAACAAAGATGTCAAGTTAAATACAATGCTTTCATATATAATAAAGCCTAAAGCATTATTTAAAGTTTCATATAGCTTATAATAGAGCAAAAAGTTTTCCCACTGATTCTCAGTTTGAAAAAATAGGGCTATTCTTTAAAATTTGAAATAATGGGTGTTGAAGAAAAGTATAAGCATGATATAAATGACTACAATGAGTTTTGTGACTAATAGTATGCTGACTTAAGATGTGATTTAATATTACAAAACTGAGAGCTGCCAGACCGTAGATTCTAAAGTGCTCACTTCACAGCAGGGCTAAAATTGCCAAGTGTTACATACCCAAAATTTTTCTTTCTGTCCTCGCGCTCCTTTCAGTGTGCCCCACCTACAATGAACAGTAATATGTATTGGTATCATCAAAATGCTGGAAGTGTACCTTGAAAACATGGAGCTTTTCATCTCTATACTTTGAATTTTCCAACTGTCCCACTATATTTTACAACAGATACGCCATTACCTTACAGAAAAATACTTACATAGTTTTTCCTTGTCCATTACATTAACTCATTTACAAAACAAGGAAAATCCTAAGGCAACTGAAGTTTGGCAGTTTCACAGCAGTTAAAGAGGGGTGGGCATTTTGTATAACTGTTAGGACTCCCTAGGAACACCACCTCCCATGTCAAAATCGCTGAGTTTGTCTCAGTTCCACTCCCAGTCCTAGTTTCCTGCATTCTGGAAAGCAACAGGTGATGGCTCCCATCCTGGGTCTTTGCCATGCTTGTGGGAGATCTAGATTAAACTCTTCCTGGCCTCTGCTGTAGGTATTTGGGGAGTAACCCAGGGGATGGTGGATCTACCAGATCACCTGCCTTTCAACTAAAATAAAAATAAATAAAAATTTTTAACGATAGCTTAAAAATACTTAATGATATTTCTTTATTTATAACATATCCTAAATGCAAAAAAAAAGGTCTACAAGACTGTTAGTAAAACATAATGGAAATATCACCACTTTTATAGGATATCTGATTTCTGTAAAAGTATTCAGATAGATAGATGATAGATAAATAGATAGATAATGAAATTATCTATAGAACTTGAAATTTCTGTATATACAGAAATTCATATATATATGAAAAATATGGAAACAGAATCCCATAATCCATACAAACATTTCCAGAATATCATGTAATAATTCCTAAAGAACCTTAACTTAGCGGTACTTCCCTTTTTCTACTGAATAAATCCATTCAGTTGGGACATTAGCATATTCTATCTACTGATGTCATGGATCAAAAATAAAGCTTTGATCAAAAAAGAATGGTGGGACAACGATTATGGTGCAATAGATTAAGCTGCTGCTCAGGATGCCTGTTTTCCAAATGGAAATGGCTGGAATCAATTCCTTCCTTTGCTTTCAATCCAGTTTCTTGCTGAAGTGCACACTGAGAGTCAGCAAATTGTGGCTCAATTATTTGAAAACTTGCCGTCACATGGCAGCACTGTCTGCTTCTGGCTGTAATTTACCTCACCCATTTGCTGCCATATAAAGATCAAATCAGCCAATGGAAGCACTCTCTAAATAAATAATAATAAACAGGTAAACATTAAAAAAAAACAGAAATGTAACAATCAAGCGTAGATTATTTTTTTTTCTGTTTCAGCTCAAACACTCCACTGGAGCAATTTGAATTTTATTTCTGGAAGAATCAGCCTTAATATTAAACAAAAAGGAAATAATTCACTAGAAACTGTGTCCCATAAAATACTTTAACTCTTCAATAGAGGATGACATTAGAAGTAACAAAGGTTTCTTTTGAAGTGCTTGAGCTTTATTTTATTGAGGATGGCGCATGCGAGGGCATTTGATAGAGAGCACAGAAAGCTATACAAGAAAAGTACATCACTAAGTAAGTACTACATTTATTAATAAGGCCATGTGAGATGCCCTGGGAATGTATAGAAGTATTGAAACAGTGTTGGGGGGATGTAGATACACATCTGCCGTGTGCAGCAAAATAATGGCTACAGATAATTCTGTTATCAACACATAGGAGACCAATTTCTAAGGAAACAGATCATTTCCTCACAAAATAATCAAGCACTTCTGCATGTATTTGTGCATTTTTTCTATTATAGTGAAACAAACTATCTCAGCTTGGAATTTTTGAGACATAAGAACTCTCTTCTCTTGCTCAGCTTCTGACATCAGTCATTATAGTAACATAAATTGCATGAAGATTATGCAACTATTTTCCTAATAGAGAAGGTATCAATAATTCTTATCTTGAAAATTCATTAACTCCTTGAGTCGTAAATTTCTTTTCAAGAAGCTTATTCATTGCCGTTAAGGAAGCTAAGTAGATAACAGCCCATGTGTGTAAGAGAGATCAAAGAAAACAAGAAGCTTTGAAAAAATAAATTTATATGCAACGGAAAAAAGAACAATTTGTGAGAACAGGAACCAGCTTCTCATCTGCCCCAAGTCCACAGCCTAAACTTGCTTTAGCCAAAGGAATTGACTGATGACGCAATCGGGAGTTGTTCTGACAAAGTTGTAATCACAGCACTGAAGGAGTCATTGCTGCTCCAATAGATAAGCACCTTCATGACCAATATTGACTGAAATGTTTTGTTTAGAGGAATTCCATATCCAAGACTTCCCCAACCACATTTTCCTAGAACGAAGAAGAGAAGGGGTCCAGTCTCATGTCCATACAGTCCATTCTCAATGCAGACCAAAAAAAAAATTTAAAAAAATAAGTGAAACACTAACTTTCCTGCCAGTTTAACTCAACACTGAAAGGCAAGATAGTTAATTAGCATTGAAAAATAGAAGAAAACTAAAATCGATTTATTGCTTTCGATGCTTCCAATCTCCGTTTCTACTCAGTTTCAGTCAGGTCAGCTAAAAGGATCCCCACAGATTGCAGTACTTCTCACTGGCTTTCTAGAATGATTTGCAGCTGTAACAGATCAATGAGTCACAGTTTAGCTTATTTTATTTATTGAAGTACTCTATATTATTTATCGCAGTGTCTTCATCACCTAGCAGTTGGTATACAATCATTATCCGTGAAATTTGTTGAAAGTGCAGTTGAGAGTCACTATGAATAGTCTCTAAATGAACAAAATATTATATTTTTACACTTTTCAAAATGTGCAAATACTTTCAGAAATCATTCAATATTACAGTATAAGAACTCTCTAAGTTATTGCATCCAAAATAAACCTTCCTGTTTGTTTCAGTCAAACTTAGTACATACACATTACAGAAGTGTACAAATGCCAAGTAAACTCATATTAGAGAACAAATTTTCAGAATACAAAATAGAAATAACACAGTATTCTAATACAGTTTACATGTATCACAACATATACAAGGACTCATCAGAAAGAAGTTATCACTCTTCTTTCTTTCCTTTTCTGCAGACTTCTATATCCCCACGCCCCAAGGATATTTCTCAGTAAAGTCTTATTGTACCCCTTAGCAGCATTCTATGCTACTTACCACCTTGGTGTGCTTGAACAGTGTCTCCCTGAATTCTGCTTGACATCGGCTCCTTCTGGTTTTCCTCTTCCCTGTTTGGTCATTTATACTGTGTCTTTGTTAGCCCCTCATTCTAAATTTGATCTTCACACATTGGGGTTCTTCTACTTCTCCTACTTCTCCTCTGATATTTCTCTTTTGACTCATTTTATTTTTTTAGATACTAGTATGATCACACAGGAACCAAGCTCACTCAAATACTGAAATAAATATAGTCAGATGTTAAAGATTAGTTTTCAAATGCTGTAGTCACCTGGCATCTCTCTGATCACCCTTACCTCACTAGACACCAAATCATTACTGATTAACTGTGCATTACATGAAGCTGCTAGTTTGAGAGCTACTAACGTTTGTTCTCAGGGCCAGAATAGCTATAGGAATTTCAGCAGATGTTGAAGAAATCATTTAAATGTTGGCAATTGAGCATTAGAGTGAATCACAGCAGCGTTATTACACTGGGACTAACTTGATTAGGTTACAAATCAGTTGAGCCAGGGCTCTCAGCTAGAAATTCCTGTAAGCCAAATGGTCAGCTATCCTTTAATATTCATGATACTTCTCCTCATTGGATATTATCTCTGATGACTATGGCTATTATCTAAATGTAATTTTTTTCATTTTTTAATTTGTTTAATCTTCCTTATGGAGAGGGTTGGGGGAAGAAAGAAACTGAGGATAATAATCTTCTGGTTAACTTCCCAAATGCCTACAAGAGCAGACATACGACCAGACTAAAGCCAGGAGCCAGGCTAATAATATGTGTTCCCTGAATGCATGGCAGGGACCCAACCACTTGACATCATTCACTGACTGCCAGGTTGTTCATTAACAGGAAGCTGTAATTGGAAATATCACCAGAATTAGAACCCAGACACTCATATATGGGATGTGAGTGTTCCAAACAGCATTTTAATCACTGTAATAAATGCTTGCCTCTAAATTCTAGTAATTGTGAATGGCTTCCATTCAAATTTTTAGAAATTCATTGTCTTACTTTAGCAATATAAATGATTTCCTAGTTCATATTTCCATTTGAATGTTTCTTGAAGTTCCTAAGTCAATATATCTAAGTTGAATGATTGGTTTTCTGTCCACCTATATCTGGTTCCTCTCCACCAGTATGTAGGACATCTGTGCAAAGTGGAAGATATTTGCAAAGCATCCCTAAAACATTCTCTCTAACCATCAAACCAACAATGACAATGCCTGCTAATTCACATACACATATTCATATTCCCAACTGCCAATCTACCTCGAGTTACTGTTAGCACTCAACTGGGGCCTCTCATGTTAATTCCTGAACTGTTTGCTTGTCTCACCATTAAACCCACAATTTCGTTTTCCAAGCATTCCATAACATGCCCTTTTAAAAATATGCAGTATGTACATTTCTTGAGGAAAATTTTCAAAAATAATTTTTGTCTTGAATTGATATTTAAAATCTTAACAGTAACTAGGAAGGTCCTAAATTTTTTACTACTCCTAAGCACCCCACAGGATAGTGACGACATGAGTACTATCAGAAAAGCAACACATTTGGAGAGATATAATCCTCGTAAGAAAAGTATAATAGATGGATCTGATCCTGAAAATGTTTTACAGTGAGTATCACACCCCCCATTAGTGCAGTAGAACTCTAGAAGTATCTATAAACCATAGCAATAGAACCAGGAGCTCTGCATATCAACCTGAACTGCAACTTAGATGACAGTCTGCACAAGTGTCCAGATAAATTTGTTTTTTTACAAACAACTACATTTCAAAGAACTGGAAAATCTAGAAAGGTTAGATAGATTTCTGAACACATACAATTTAACAAAATTAAGATAACA